AAACTTTCAATTTTAAGTCTTTAAATATGTTGAAAAGGTGAAGATTTATGATCAAAGTTATAAAATCATAGAAAAGATAGTGACCATATCTCTCAGTATAGTGCCCCTCTTTTTTTTTTTTTTTTTAACTTAATGGCTCTTTGGGAAAACTTGTTTTTTATATATTTGGTTTGTAATCAGATACCTTAATGTGAACCTTCTTATTACATATTTTATAGTTTATTCTTTTGGATTTTCTAGATCGTTGCATCATCTGCAAATCAGTGTTGTTTTTCAATATATGGATCTTACTTTTTTTTTTTATTTGATTATTGAATTGGCTAGAACTTCAGATAATAATTTTAATAGCAAACATCTTGTCCTCACTATAATTCTTGTTATGTTTTATTATCAAGTGTGATGTCGATTGTACTGAGATAGATCCACTAGAATGTAAGTTTCATGAGAGCGGAGATTTTGTTTTGTTTTGTGTTGTTTTGTTTTGTTAACTGCTGTATTCCTAGTACCTCATAGGCTCAAATATCTGTTGACTGTCCATTCTTGGCATCTTAATAGTTTATATCAAGAGTGGATATAGAATTTTATCAAACACCCTTTTATGTCTGTTGAAATTACTGTTTTAATTATGGTGTGTTACGTATAGGCTGCTCGATTTCTGAAAATATATTCCAAAGTGATACTTAAGTTTTTCAACACCTATTTTTGAGCAATTAAATTTTAGGTTCTGGCATTATACCAGAGAATAAGGCTAAGTCCCTACTCTCATGGAGCTTAATTCAAGATAATTTCAGTTTGTAATAAATGCTATAAGTAAGGTGAGCGTACGAAATGTAACAGAGAGGATCTGGGAAGTTACTTTTAATAGGGTGGTCAAGTGAGGACTTTCTGAGGAGGTTATGTTTGAGCTGACACCTGAGTGATGAAAAGGAATGATAAATGTGAAAATTGGGAGAGAAATGATGTTTCCTCTGTATGACATTTTGTGCTGTCTCCTTGTTAGATTTTCATTTCAAGAATATGCTGGCTTTGTAAAATGACTGACTTGATGAAATGAATTGAGATGTATAAATAGCATAGGTTTGAAAACTTGTTTCTGCCTGTTCTCTATTAACTTTTTCATGTTTTCCCCATAATTCATAATCTATTTGTTTCTTACATCTTTGTATCCGTTCATAATGTTATCCTCTCTTCTCATTTTTTAAATGTTTATTTTCCTTTATAAAAATGAGATTTGCCAGAGACTGGTTTATTTTATTATTTATTTTGTTTTTATGAAAAGTTCTCATATTTATCAGTTCTCTCTTTTATTAAGAAATTCTGTCTTTAATATATTTTCACGCTTTTATGGGTTTATGTTCTAGCATTTTATTTTCTTCTTTACCCTAAGAGTTACTGAGGAACAGATTTAGAATTCCTAGAAGCTTGCTTTTTTTGTTTTTGTTTGTTTTATTTCATATAAGTATCTGTCGAGGTCCTTGTAATTTAATAACTTTCCATTAATATTAAATAATACATATTTTTTGATTATATATTTCAAACTTAGAGAAAAATGGAGCGATAAAGGGAACAACCATGTATCTACCACCCAGCTCTTGAAAGCCAGACATTTTGCAATACTAGTTTCAAATTTCAAATTTCTTTTAAGCATATTAGATAAAACCTAAGCCCCATGTAAATTGCTTAAATGTTGTACCCCTTTCTTTTCCATCTTTCCCAGAAGTAACCACAGTTAATGACTAGGTGTTTATCAAGCAATGTGTTTTTTGTGGGGTAAAAGCTTGGTGTCTGTATTCAATCAAGCTTATTAAATGTACAAATAAAATGTTTCCTTTTTCCTATTAATGGACTACTTGACATGATGAGCTAGAATATGTTTTGTTTTGTTTTGTTTTGTTTTGGTTGACCTCACAGATTGCAAGGACCTTATCAATTTACTATCCCTTTTTTTTTTTTTTTTTTTAAATTTTCTACACCTGCAGCACCTGGTCTTCCTAGATGATCACCCATCCAAGTACTAACCAGGCGCAACCATGCTTAGCTTCTGAGATTAGATGGGATTGGGCTTGTTCAGGGTGGCATGAAACTTCTTGATAATCATACTTGAGATAACCACGTTTGATATTTTAGTGCATCATATGTCCTTTTAGACTTTCTCGGTTCTGTAGCCCAGCTTATTGTGCTGATGATAGGTGTATACCAACTAGTCCAGTGTTAATAACAGATACGCCGAAGAGAATGCTTGCTTTTTGTGCATGCTATGGAAAGGCAGTACGTGATGCAGATAAAATACACTAATAAATTCTGTGTCTATTCGGTGGGAGACACTTTTCTAAGTTTTATATAGTTTGTTTTATTTGACACGTAAAGACACATGGCTGTTAGAACTTTCTTGTGATATCTTTTGTTAATACCAAATGCTGCTTTTTGCTTTATCTTCTAGTTTGATTTATTAATATTGCCTCCTGCTTTATTTATTTCTTGGTTTACAATTATCTGGTATAATGTTAGCCATCCTTTAATATGAAATGACTTACAAAAATATTAAATGCACGGGTATGTGCATACCCACACAGGCAAAGAATTCTAAAAAACATAAAGAAGAAAATGCTCATCCTTAATCCCATCACTTCATGGATAGCTAGTGTTAAATTTTAGTGTATATACATGATATCACCTTATATGTAGGATATAAACCTAAAAGCAACAAACAAACATGACAAACAGAGACTCATGGACATGGACAATAGACTAGTGCTTACCAGAGAGGAGGGGGAGGAGGGAGGTAGATAGGGTAAAACGGGTCAAATATGTGGTGACAGAAAGAAATATAACTATGTGTGGCAAACATACAATGCAAAATATATATATGACTTACTATTGAATTGTAACAACAAAAGAAAGTCTGTTGAAGGAAACAAACCAATAAGTCAGTGATGACAAGAAAGGGTTTATTCTAGGGGAAACCTGCACACTGCACACTCTGGGTTTCTCTCTTCTGAATGAATAAACCAAATTTTTACTGATTCTTTTGATAAAATCCCAATTTTTCCCAAAGTACTTTATCTGAATGAGCTCTGCTGTGAGCATAGAGGCAAAGCTGTAAATCACTTGACACCTGGCCACATTTCTTCAAGAATTTATTGTTGTTTCTGTCTTTGTCGTTGTTTTAACAAAGCACTGAACTGTCTTTCCTTAATCAAAACACTGTTAGATACTTTAAAAAAAAAACAACAAAATTAAAATTAATTTGGTGGATTAGAAAAAAATTTTTTTAGTGTATATTCTTTCAGACTTTTATGTTCATTTATATGGCTATGCAGATTTATATATAATTTTCTTGTCACACAAATGAGATTATGCTGTATTTATAGTTTTTTTCACTTTAGTCTTAGTAATTCATCAAACATATAACATAATTTTAGTTTTAAAAAGTTCAAGCAGGCCTTTGAGCCACTCTTCTCTTGCTCAGGCCTGCTTTCATGTCTGGCAGTGTAATATTGCTTCTAATAAAGCTATTCTCTTCTGCTGTCAAAATAATAAAAATAAATAAATAAATAAAATGAAAGATTCAAGTAAAGCCAAAGATGAAGTGTGAAAAAATACCACTCATATCACTTCCCTACCACTGTTTTTCAGTCCTACACACATAGTGTAGCAATATTAACAATTTCTTTTGATTTTTTTCAGATATTTTTAATCCAGTCTAAATACATATATATGTATATTTTTCTGCAAATAAACCAGAGGTTATCAAACTTTTGGATATCAGTCTTAAGAATTATTGAGAGCCTCCAAAGGGCTTCTTTTTATATGGGTTATATCTATTGATATTTATTACCATATTGCAAATTAAAATTGATATTTTTTTAGTTTATTAAAAAAAAACTATGTTAACATAATTGAAAACAGCTGAATTTTTGTACATGCTTCTTCCTTTAATCTGTTGTGATACATAATTTTAGTTGAAGTATGTGAAGAAAATCTGGTTTCACCCACACACGAAGTTGAAAATGGGAGGAGTATTTCAGTAGCCTTTTCAGATAACTGTAGGTATTCTTTGATACTATGGTAGCTTCTTAAAGGTTAATTGCAACACGGAATTTAAAAACCACATCAGGGAACTTTTCATCCTCTTTTTTGTTGAAGTCTGTTGGTCTGTCTTAAACTTTGATCTTTTACCAGTGCATGATTTCATAACTTCATGCATTGGTTATTTGGAAAATATTGGTTCACTGAATTAATCTTCCAAATGTTGATGCATTTTACTGTATAATGTGATTTGTTAATAGCACCACCAAACTTATCAGAGAAGCCTTTAAAAGGTATTAGGAAACTGTCAAGCTTACAATGGCAAATACAAGTTTTCTACAATTCTGTAATTTTTGCTTGAAAGCTCTAATTTTATAATTGACGACAAATGCTGTCGGTTGTGGTTTTCAAATAACAGCTTTGTTGATACCAAACAATTCACCCATTTAAAATGTGAAATTTGATAGTTTTTAGTATATTCATAGAGTTGTATGCAGTCATTATCACAGTCAGTTTTAAAACATTACATAATTTTTTAGAACATATTGAGAACATCACCCCAAAAAGAAACCCCTTAACCCTTTAGCTATTACCCTCCTGCTCCCATCCCTTCTACTCCCCTCTCCCCAGCCTGCTCCTAAGCAACTACTAAGCTTTCTGTCTGGATTTTCTTCTTCTGGACTATTGTATGAATGGAATCATATAGTATGTGGTCTTTTGTGACTGGCTTATTTCACTTAACATGTTTTCAGGGTTTATCCACGTCATAGCAGGTATCAGTACTTCATTGTGTGTGCGTGTGTGTGTGTGTTGTAGTAAAATATACATAACAAAGTTTACCATTTTAACCATTTTCAGTGTACAATTTAGTGGCATTAAGGACATTTACATTATTGTGCAACCATTACCATTATCTATCTTCAGAACTTTTCATCATCCCAAACTGAAAGTCTGTTTGAAAATCAAAAGTAATTAAACAATTACTTTCCATTACCCCATCTCTACAGCCTCTGGTAACCACAGTTCTACTTTCTATCTCTCTAAAATCTGACTTTTCCACTTAAGAGTGGAATCGGACAATATTTGTCCTTTCGTGTCTGCCTTATTTCACTTAACATACTGTTTTTAAGATTTATCAATCAGTTAATCAATAAAAGATTTATTCATATCCTAGTATGTTTCAGTACTTTATTCCTTTTTATTGTCAAATAGTTTTCCCTTGTATGAATATATCCGTATCCTTTCATCAGTCGATAGATGTTTGGGTCGTTTCCACTTTTGGCTATTATCAGTAATGTTGCAGTAAACATCTGTGTATGAGTTTTTGTGTGGACCTGTGTTTTCATTTCTCTCGGGTATATATCTAGGAGTGTGATTTAGGGGTTCATCTTCATTCTTTTGCATGTGGATATCCAGTTGTCCCCGTACAATTTGTTGAAAGACTATTCTTTCCTCATTGAATTGTACCTTAATACTCAAATACATGAACTAACTATAGGACTACTTGGAGTTAGCTACATTGCAAAGTGTAAAGCCAGCTGTGAAGCTTAGAGGGTACATGGGTCCTCCAAAAGACCACCCTCACTTTGAGAGCATCTGCAAGTTCAGGGAGTTTCCAAAAACCACTCTCAAGTTTGGTAATTCACTAGAATAGCTCACTGAAAGCTATTATCCTCACAGTTATGGTTTATTGCAGAGAAAAGATACAGATTAAAATCAACTAAAGGCAGAGATACATTGGGCAGAGTCTTGAGTTCCAGACACAAAGTTCTGTACTCCTCTCATGATATCAGGACACGTTACCCTCCTGGCATAGATGTGTGACAAGATGCATGAAGTCTTGCCAACCAGTAAAACCCACCTCAGCTTCAGTGTCCAGAGTTTTCATTGAGGCTTTGTTGCATAGGCATTATTGATTTGATTGGTTGCCTGAGATTGAACTCAGTCTTCAGGTTGACTGATAATGCATTACCCAAAGTCCCCACCCTCAATCACGGGGTTTGGTTTTTCTGCTATGGCCAGCCCCACCCTAAGATTTGGTAACAAAGACACTCCTATCAGGTATGATATATCTAACAGAAGTCAAAGGCAAAGACCAGACTTCTCTCAGGTTAAGACCAAATTTTTGTTACACTGGGACAAATATTCATGTTCAGGGGCAAAATGGAGACAGGAGTGAGATTTTTTTTACTGAGTATCATCTGACTACTGGGAATTGTATCAGGATCTTTATGTATGGTCCTCTCATTAAATTTTCAAATCAACCCTGAGCAATATCATTCTTTCACTTTGCACATGGAGAAACTGAGGCTCATAAGCCAAGCAACTCTTCTGAGTGGTGGAGCTAGGATTCAGACCTGAGTTTCTCAACCCCAAAGCCAAGCCCTCCATCGCACAGCCCCCATCAGGACTGCTCCACCGCACAGCCCTAGGTGCACTATCTACACTGTATACTCTCCTTAGGCTTGTACACGTGCCATCTGAACAAAAGCAGTGTGCTTGCTTAAATGGAGCTCCTCTGCTGTGTGAATTCTGGAGCTATCACCACACGTCGCCTCCCACCATAGCAAGTGAACCATATTGCAGTGAAAGTACACTCCTCAGGTGACCTGTTTCAAAACACCAAGCAACAGTTGCCTCATCCCTTCTTCTGAGTTGATTTGAGCATCACAGAAACTCTTTCTACTCTGTTTTCCTTTTCAGGCTGCTGTACAGGACAGACTGAATGAGCAAGAGGGTGTACCAAGTGTTTTCAACCCGCCTCCATCCCGACCCCTGCAGGTTAATACAGCCGACAACAGGATCTACAGCTATGTTGTCTCAAGACCACAGCCAAGGGCAAGTTACTAATTTCATAGCTGGAATTTCCCCTTTTTTATAAGTCCATTCACTTGGTTTTGTTGACCTCTGTATAATGAGAGCAAAAGAACTATTCAGAATGTAAACCTGTTAGCTAGACTTGGCTCCTTGGTGGATTTTTTGGGTTGATCATTTTTCCTTGATTCCTTAATAAATTGATACAGTAAGTATCTTTTTTTTCTTTTCATTTCTTTGCCAGTTATTTGAAAAATTTTATGTACTGTACACACTAGTTTTATTTGCATATCTAAAAGTGTTTGCTACATGTTTAATAGATCTTCCACTTTGAAGTTAGAATGTTTACTGAGTTCTTTTTTCTTCATTTTACTTAATTTTAAGTTAATTCTAGGGAAGTACTTAGAGCCTTAGCCATATCTTTGAAATTAGTCTTGAAGAACTAAAGACAAGGAGGTAGTTCACTTAAATTTCAGCAAGCCTTTAGGAATGCTCCAGTGTACCTGGTAGTTTGCTTTTGGGGATCCAGAGATGAATCAAGAGCTGATCCACCCCCTTCACATTGCTGACTGCCTGATTAAAGACGTCACATGTGTGTACTGATAATGAGCTCTGGAAAACTTGTTGGAGTTTCTCTTAGAGTTACACTCACCTCTTATACTTGTGTTTAGAACTCCAAGAAAGCACTCCCTTTAACTTTGCAGGAGTTAGAATTTCCTTCATCATGATACCTTTTTATGGGTTACTTGACATTGTTTTAAAAATGGAGTTTGTAAGTTGTCATTTTTGGATATTTTGAAGTAGAAGAGCAGATTCCTAGAGCTATTGTATGGCTCAGGGAGTAGTCCTGTTAATGCCCAGCGTGTCCTCAGTTTGTTTTAGGCTTGATGCTGTTTGGGACCCTAATGAGGCTTCAGAGCTTCCTGGCTATGGACATAGGAAGGGTCTTGGGTTTACACAATGTGGTGTCAAAGAAATGCTTGTAAACTGTAGAGCCAGATATATATGCTAGTTAATAACAACAACAGCAGTAATCAACATCGTTAAAATAATAAGTAACATCATTGCTAAGATTAGCAGCAATATAGGGATTTACAATTAGGTTAATATGATTGTCAGTTATATACAGATGTCCAAGGTAGTAATAGTGGTTATCTTTCTTGCTATTTCTATATACCATATTTTAATGTGTAAATCTGAAAAAAAGAAAGAATGAATATTTATGATTTGGGAAGGAAAACTTGCAAATGAATTTGATAACTAATGTAAGTAGCCACAGAAAAAATGTTGAAGCAGATTTAATACAAAAATTATGTGATAACAGGAAAATATTAGAGTATTAGATTAAATGAGATCAAAGGCAGTTAGTCTTTTTGAAGGATGAGGTGGCCAGGAAGAGGGAACTGTATTGCAAAAAGATCACATGAAAGGACAAAGCAGAGTAAAAATCTGAACCAGCCATTTTGTAAGGTATTAGAGATTGAGCGAATGGTATCTAACATTGTTTTTGGAATTTCAGGGGCTGCTTGGATGGGGTTATTACTTGATAATGCTTCCATTCCGGTTTACCTATTACACAATACTTGATATATTTAGGTACGTACCTTTGTATTTGTGTTAGTAGCAAGAGGGTAGATAGACTTTGGAGCTGAAACGTAGACTAGAATAAAGTTTATGCACTATCAATTTTGACTTGCCAGTTTGTCATTAGATTGAATGAATACTCTTTTCTAAACAATCTTTTAATATAGTATGAAAATATTTTAAATTATACAACATAATAAAGATGTCACGAAATGGAATTGTTTTAAAGTAGTCTTGCCTCTCATTTTCAAGAATCAATTTACCTGCATATGTTGTTATCCTGCTTTCTCCCACCATCTTTGTCACCTCTACATTCCCTAGTTAATCTTCACACCCTTTCCTTTCTAACCTCCATTATCTGTGAGCTTCACACTCCTTGTAACTTTTATCCTAAACCATCTATAACTTCATCTGACTACTTATAATCCCAACAAATTATTTTACTTTGAGATTACTTTTCTCTAGATATCTCCTACAAGTTTCACCTCTCTAGACACTCCAATACAATTTTCTGTCTGTACTACCAATAGATTGCTGACACTGGATCCCTTCCATATGTGTACCCCTTGCTTCACACCTTAACGTTTCTTCTTGCTTCCTTCATGTACCTTTTAAAGAGCTCAGCTCTGGAAGCTACAGAGGGGCCAGGACTAGAAAATGTCCAAGGGGGCCCAAGTTGCTGGCATATCAGGCTTGGGCTGTCTGGTCTAGAGTTCAGTAGTAGATGAACCCATGCTTAGGCTTTATGGGGAACTGAAACGTCTGTGGGCATCCAGGCAAAGAGATGGAGCTAGGAATGTGTGGTCTGGGTCTTGTATATAGGGCATCATGTACCTCCCGCCTAATGTGGGATGGCCTTTGCCTTGCCCTAGGAAGCAGAGACCAGAGGTGAGGACCCAGCAGCTGCAGAAGTGTAAGGATCAGACAGTACCTATACCTTGGCCACTTGGCGTTTTATGAGACTACCTGCTTAATGGCTTCCTTGCTCTAGCAAAGTTCTTAGGGGTCACCAGTTAACCAGTTAGTACTCTTCCCACCCCTATTTTACTTAAGAATGGGCATGTTAAAACCTTAAAAATCATAGTGAAGACTGAGTTGACATCTCTATTTTTTTAAAAAGCTGATTGTCGTAAATTATGTAGGCCATGAAAATGTATCATAATGAGAAATAAAAAAGTTAAAGCCTTTATCCATTCATTTATCAAGGTGAAACTTAGAGTAATAAAATAATCAAAAATAATTTCAGAGAAAGTTATGAAAACATCGATCTTCTAAAGGATTTCTAACCACTCCCTCACATACATAGCTTCTTACATTTGTTTCTAATTTGCTCTGGAATGTTTGTGTTAATCACTTTGATTTGATTATTCTGGAGAAAATCCAGGTGAAATTGTTTACACATGGAATTTGAGGGGATAAGGAATTGGCTCAAGATTTGGTAAGAAAAGTCATAGTTTAGTCACCTTTTCTGTACTGAAAATTCCTCAAGTTATATGAATATTATTTTCCTTGGGAAAAAAATGTGCATGGCATGTGTTATTAATTTTAATACAACTGTATCATCCAAACAATTGTTTAATATTATGTAGCACATTGATTTATCAAGCCTCTGCCCCTTTAACTTCTGTGGAAACTGAAAGGATAAATAGATGGTACTATACAAATATGATAAGATGGACTCTTTGGAAACAGATGTGTGGTAACCTTTTAATGGCTGCCAGGTCTCCAAATCTGCCAGTGTACTCTAGATCAGTTTTATAATTTCCTCCATGGATGACATCAACCATAAATCACCAAGCAGAATTTACTTGCCACTTTGAAAGGCAAGTAAGTCATGACTGCCAAGTTCAGATTTCAAGTTCCTGTCCGTAATTTGAATAGCTTGGGAATATGCACTAAAACAGAAAGGAGAGGGAGAGGCAAATAGGACAGCCAAGAAGAAACCAAGCTCTGTTCCAGACCAGCGCTGTCCAGTAGAACTTTTTGTGATGATGCACATGATCTATAAGTGCACCATCCAGTGTGGAAGCCATTACCCACATGTGGCTGTTGGGTAGTTAATGTGACTAGAGCGACTGGGGAACTGAAATTTTTATTGCGTTTTATTTAATTATTTTAAATTTAGATAGTCATGTAACTAGTGGCTCCTATATTAGACAGTGCCATTCTAGAGAGTCTAGGGACACAGCTTGACCCGTGGTCTTTTTGGTTATTGTATCTTCCTTTCCCAGTTCCTCTAACCCCAAATTTTTCTGCAAAAAGCACTCAGGATTTGTTTAGGCCACTGTTGGAATTACAGTCCTAGTAGTTTGAATTCTTGAACAGGCAGTGGAAAAACACTTGGTGCTTTGCAGCTTTTTAGCTAGACTGTACTCTTAGGTTTGATGACCCACTCCCAGACCATTCACCTCCTTTTGCTGCCATGCCTCTGGCTGTGGTACAGGAATCTTTACAAACTGGTCCACTCTGTATACACGACAGTAAGTCGATTCATATGATATTTATTCCTTCTTCCCCAGGTTTGCTCTTCGTTTTATACGGCCTGACCCTCGCAGCCGGGTCACTGACCCTGTTGGGGACATTGTTTCATTTATGCACTCTTTCGAAGAGAAATATGGGAGGGCACACCCTGTCTTCTACCAGGGAACGTACAGCCAGGTCAGTGCCACAAACCGTACAGACGCCAGTATATTGACATGATTCTATCTGCAAAGGGAAGGATAGCCCAGCACTGATTGTGTCATTGTTTCACTCAGAACCTTTAAATAGCTTCACTGTTTACAGCGGGGGAGAAATCAAGAAAATAAATCAGATGTTTTAGCTGAGTCCTCCTTGATCTAATCCCAGCCTCTTTTTGAGGTCTTTCTTGTGTAACTTGTTTCCCCAGTACCTGAGGTTCCAGCTAAACCGTTTCCTGAACAAACTGTACTTTCCCATCTCTGTGCCTTTGCTTTTACCTTTCCCTCCACCTGCAATGCCATACTCACATTTTGGCTAATTGGAATCTTACCCATCCTTTAACCAGTTCATGTCACTCCCTTCTTATGTCCTTTCCCAATTATTGTGCCCTACCCTGACCCGCCTTGCAATTTAAAATAGTAATCTTTTCTTTTGTGCTTTCATAACTTTGTTTTTAAGTTTATAGCAATTTCACATTCTTCTTTATGTTTTAGTTAGTTGTGTCTGTGCCTTCTCTCCATCCCAGGCTATTAGATCCTTGAAGGTAAAGCCTAAAGTCTCCTTCAATCCCTCACAGAGTTGAATTAAGGGTATAGACTATAGACTCAAGACAGCAGATCTCATTCAACTCAAACCACGCAGACTTTTGACTTGCTACCTCAGGGGGTGAAAATTAAGAGGTCTGTGGGAATTAGGCATATCTTTGCTAGAGAAAAATATGGAAATAACACTGTGAATATAGGCCAAAGGGTGATTCTATTCTCTAGCTTCCAGGATTCCTAAATCTATCTGGAGAAAAAGAAAGATGCTTACTCTTGCTTCCTACTTTGATTCTCTCTTACATCTGCTTTTTCTCATACTCTCCCTCACTGGCTGCTCTTACTCAACTCAACAAGTATTAAGCACATACTATATGCCAGGCACTGTACTCAGTGCTAGAGATACTGAATGAGAGAGGCACTTCTCATGGACTCTTTGCTGTGATCTTGAGAGAAGACCACCATTGGTCATTCAGGAAATCATAATTGAATTGTAATCTCAGGATTATGCAAATGGAAAAGCATACACAGGAATCTGAGGCACTAGCCTGGTTGTTGAAGATCTTTTAAACCCCATACTCTAGAATGCCTTTGGGTCCCATAGTCCCTCATCCCTGCTTGGTATATGGCCTGGGATCATCTTCACAGTATTTTTTATTTACAAAGATGTTATAGCTGTAAAGTGGCAAAATCCTCACCTTTTTCACATGGTCAGACTCTCCCGTTTTTATCTTCCTTCATACCATAGGAACACCTGACTTCTGTGATTTGTTGGGGACTTTTGTCAGCCTGTCTACTTTCATGTGCTTGATACAATTTAAATCCTTACAACACTAAAACCTTTTTATTAAAGCTTGTTAGCATAGACTTTGTATAGGGATAAAAATGTCAGGGGTATGAAGGTAGGAGCCCAGCACTCTGGTTTCTTTCTCACCTTTTTCTTCATTTCTCCTTTTGTTCCTGTATATATAGCTTTATCCGTTAGGACCCTTAGCCTAATTAAAAGCTCAGGGCACAGTCATCATAATAATTAGCGATCTTCTGTTTCCCACAGGCACTGAACGATGCCAAGCGGGAGCTTCGTTTTCTTTTGGTTTATCTTCATGGAGATGATCATCAGGACTCTGATGAATTCTGTCGGTAAGTGGATTGATTGTTTTCTTTCTCTTTTCTGACCTTATCTGCTGAGACTTCGCAGTGAGCAAGTCCTTCTCGTGTCATTTTCATCTCTCCACAGCAACACCCTCTGTGCCCCTGAAGTTATTTCTCTAATAAACACTAGGATGCTCTTCTGGGCATGCTCCACAAACAGACCTGAGGGCTACAGGGGTAAGTTGTGTTTCATTTACCTCATTGTGATAGTTGGGATGTCTTTGGAATGATCTGGGAAGGCTTGTCATTTATGGTATGATGATTCTGTGCTAGATACTATGCTAAGTTGCTATTTATACATTATCTCATTTAATCCTGTCAGCACTCCTGAGAGATGGGAGTTGTATTACCTCCACTCTATAGTGTAGGAAACAGGTTCAGAGAGTCTAAGCCCAGTCCAGGATCACACAGTTAGCAAGTTTTAGAGCAAGCTCAGGTCTGTCAGACTCTAGCTTGTTCTTTTTAATTTTTTAATTACGGTTGACATTCAATATTATATTCCTTTTAGGTATACAGCATAGTGGTTACACATATATATTACTTATGAAGTGATACTACAATAAGTCTAATACCCATCTGGCACTATACATATTTATTAAAATATAATTGACTATATTCCCTATCCTGTACTTTACATCCTTGTGACTATTTTGTAACTGCCAGTTTGTACTTATTAAATTCTTTCACCTTCTTCCACCCAGTCTCCCAATCTAGCCCATTCTTTATAGTTAGCCAGAGCCTATTTTATTCTTAAAAACACCCAGTCCTGGCCAGCAGCTTGCCTTTAATCTTAATGGACTTCTTAATTCTTACTAAAGAGTTTATTTTCGTCACCAGTAATTTTAATAGAGTTTCTTGTACAATGAGTTAGTTGTTTGAGGACCTTGCTTGCTGGTACAGATTCAGAAAGTTCAGATCTTTGCTAAAAATAACTGAATTAGAGGTAAGTATTTTTAAGACAACAGTATAAGATATAAAGGTAACCAGTGAAGAATAATGTAGTTACTTTGTAGCTACCTCTATTCAGAAACTTTTGAGTGTATATAAGCATACCAGGCCCATGCTACATCCTGAGAACCAGAGATGCAGCAGATGTTTTGCCTGCATCTTGCAATGAGTCTTTATTCCTAGTTCATTTTTAAACATCTGATAAGTTCCTGCAGCATTGTGCCATTCTAGTATGGCTTTGAAACAGAAAAGCTTGCTCCTTTTTGTGGGGAAGAAAAAGACATGGTGAAAGAAAGGGGTTTGATAAGGGGAAGAGAAGACAGAAGATAGTGGAGGTCATCACCAGTAGCATAAGTCTGAGACTTGCAGCCTTGTTCCCTTTAAGCTGGACCCCTTCCACAGGGAAAAATTATGCTAAGCAGGAGACAGATTCTTTATAGATTCTTTCCTGCCCATCAAATAGGCATTGTCCTTGAACTCTGCAGCCTTCCCTAGCATCATCATGATAGCCACACCCCCATCAGAAAAGCCTGTCCTACTCTATCAAATTACCTGGGAATAAGGACACAAATATATAACAAAAAGAAAAAAAAATTAAGAAACTAAGAGGAAAAAGTTAAGACAGAGAATAAATGACACCTCCCTTCTTTCCCAGCTGGGATTATAGCAGTTCTCTATTACTTATTGTGGAAAATCTTAAGAGTTGATCTGTTTTATCCCAAAGTCTTGCCCTTGATCTGTTGGGTTTTCTTTCCGTCAGTCTCACAGGCTTTACGAGAGAACACATATCCATTCCTGGCCATGATTATGCTGAAGGACCGGAGGATGACTGTGGTGGGACGGCTTGAAGGCCTCATCCAACCTGATGACCTCATTAATCAGCTGACATTTATTATGGATGCAAACCAGACTTACCTGGTGTCAGAACGCCTAGAAAGGTACAGGGGATCTAGAGAGACCAGCTATAGGTTTGGGTGGCTGACTTGGGGCCCCACAGTCATGACTTCTCTCTCTTGGGCAACTTTAAAAGTCATGTCTGTTAGTGTTAAAACATTTATGTACTTTGAAATAAATAATTCTCTATTAGGTCATCTGTTCTTAGAGATGTCAGTCAAAAGAAAGGGCTCTGCGCTCAAGAATATATATCATGTCATTTAGAATATTTGAGCCATGATATAAAGAGCTTAAAAGTAACAAATGAGGAATGGATAAAACTCTTTTCCCTATTATATAAGTAATCTACATTACTTGTAGAAAATTTGGAAAACAAATACAAAGATGAGATTTAAAATCACCCATAATCCTACCACCACTTTTAACATTCTGGTATGTATTTTTTTTAATTATATAGACACATAATTCTATATGCATACACAATTTTTTGGAGAGAAAATAGGAAATGTGCCAAAATGTTGGTGTTTTCTCTTTGGTTAGTAAAACTCTGAATAAAGTATTTCTGCATTTTTAGATTTTCTAAAATGTGCATATATGGTTTATTGGTTTTATGAAAGCAACATATGCAAAAATGTAACCCAAAGGGGTATGCACCTGTAAAATATGATCTAATGATCATTTATAACAGTAATACTGTGCTACTTTTTGTGTTAGATTTGAGGAAAAAAGATAGTTTAATTTGGAAAGTTAAAAAAGGAAGGAAAAGCTTACCATTTCTTTTTTGCCAAATTATACCAGGTTAAAGAAATGGCTTGTTCATATTCTGCCATGCTCTGTTTTGGATTACTTTATGGTAGGGTAAAATAGTCATCTGCCAAGATTTCAATCTTTTTACCCCCCAAAATTTCCATTTAAGAAAACACAAGAGTTCTGGTCAAGATGGTGGGGTAGATAAACACTGTGCTCACCTCCTGGGATCACATCAAAATTACAACCAAATTATAGAACAGTCAATCTGGAGAACATCTGAAGACCACCTGAACAGAGGTCACATAACTAAGGATATTGTTGAGACTAGAAAAAAAATGAAGTGAAAGCTCTTCTTTAGATCTCATGGGTGATGGGAAGGAAAAAAATAGTGATTAAAACTTGACATTTAAAGCAGATAGACCCCAACACAACTCATCACTAGCTGTATGTTACCATAAGTGTAAAAAATTAAATTTATGCTTTATTTTCACCAAAACCAAATGGAAAGAAAAAAAGAAAGCCTAGAGCTTTGTGAAATTGCTCTTCTCCTTCTGTACTTTTGACCTGCCTGCAGGGAAGAACGAAACCAGACCCAGGTGCTGAGGCAGCAGCAGGATGAGGCGTACCTGGCCTCTCTCAGGGCTGACCAGGAGAAAGAAAGGAAGAAGCGGGAGGAGCGAGAGCGGAAGCGGCGGAAGGAGGAGGAGGTGAAACAGCAAAAGTTGGCGGAGGAGCGGCGGCGAAGGGTAACAAACCTGTCTATTCCCATGGCTCCCAGACTGGCCTTTTCTTAAGTGTAAAATGAAAAAACTATAAGATGATGAGATTGTGGGGGGGTTAAATTCTCCTTGCCATTTTTATATTTACTACATTTTCATAAAAATATTTTTAAATTTAAAAAATATTTTTAATTAAAAAAATACAACAGTGAGTAAAAGGCGAAATAGCTCTGCTCAGTGAAAAGTAAATAGAGGTAATAAGTGGTTCACAATGCTATTATTAACAGCAGTAATTTTTAAATATTTGTTCTTAGTCCCAGTGTTAGCTCATTTGGTGTTTCATTCATGACCTTGTTTCGTTATGTGTTCCCTCTTGATTATAGCCAGTGTCTTTTAGTCATCCCCTTTATTTCAAAGAGCTAAATGCCTGAACATAGTCAATAAATAATACATGTGATGCAATAGTACTTTGAATTAGGTTGTTTCGGACTCTTCCCAAGAAGTTTTTGTGATATTAATTATTAATTTGTGTTCTGACTGCACAATAGCCC